GTGTTAGAGCTTGTACAATGCCTTATGCCGCGTGCTGTAGGTCAATGTGGAGCTTTCGCCGAACCCATACTCCCAACGAGAAGCATCGTGCAGGGTTTACGAGGAGGAACCAGGTTTGCGAGGTGCCTTACATATTTTTATCTTATCAAAGATTACTACCGCACATCCAGGCATGGGTTCGAGGATCTGGATAGATGACCTATCTCAGCGGGTCCATACATCACGAGTACAGCTGCGTCAAAGACTACTATCAGGTTTTTTTGACACCTGTCGCGCCCTCCAGCGTGAATCTTTGACTGTTTCACCAAAGAGCATCATCCTGTGCTCTAACATTGCCGATGCGAAGTATATCTCCAAGAAACTCCAGGTCGCTGGTTTTGAAGTCCACCCCCAATCTCAGGCTGGTTATCTTGGGGTGGATTTGGGAGGAGGTATCCGACACGCTCGTCAACTACGGTCGAAAAGAGTGGTGAAGGGCAAACAGATGCATCGGAAAGTAGTTGGTTTTGCACGTGCTGCTCGACGGTACAACGTTACCAGCAAGTTGACAAGGGTCGGCACCCTGTCAGCCCAGCTCTACGGGCACCAGCTGCACGGAGTCTTTGGAGCCGCTATGCTAGGGGCTCGTCGTCAGCTCGGAGCGGCGTGCGGCACTGGCAAGAAGGGCCGATGTTTGACCACGCTGTTGGATATCAGATGCCCTGGAGGGGATCCTGCGCGTACTTTGCCGCGGGCTTGCCTCGACCTCTGGCTTCGCCAGTGGCTTTCACTGCCGTCGATCAGGCCAGGCATATCTCGTGCTTGGCCCAAGTTGCTGGAACGTTTGCGAAGTACCCCTGAGAATCAGAGATCTCGGTGTGTTCGGGGACCCACAGGTGCTGTAATCTTGTATTTGCTCCAAGCAGGTTGGGACCCCGCGGAGCCCTCGCACTGGAACGCCCCTGATGATTGTGACGATTTAGCAGCTTGGCGTTTCCCACCTTCAGAGCTTGCTGGAAACCTGATCGAGGATAATCCTGACCCCCTCTTGGACGATTTCGACCAGTCCATCCAGAATCAGCTTTGGAGGAATGCTTCTCAACACTATTGTGGAGAAGGCATGCAGTGGGGGATCGATAATTATTCATTGCGTCGCTTGTTGAAGCAGCTGCTTGTCGCCCCACACGGGAGCCGTTTAAGTGGATTGCTTGTCTCAGTGGCCACAGGCGGAGCCTGGCCACGGGCGCGCCGACATGAGCAGCTGAAAGGAAACCAAGAAGTTTTATGTCCCAGGTGTTTCGAGGAGCCCGAGACCCCATTCCATAGGTTCTGGGGATGTGCTGAGAACAGGGACTGTAAGGCATATACAGATTCTGAATCGCTCACGCCGGCAGCGCATGCAGGTGCAGACTCTGAAGCATGCTTTTGGCTGCGGGGCCTCATCCCAGCAGCGTGGACTGCAGCGCCACGGCCCTCGTCTTTGGAGGACTGGCACATTCGAGGCAGCTCGTCGAACGATCTTGAGGGATGTCTTGGTGAAGGGTCCTTTCACGATCCCATCATTGTATTTGGCGATGCAAGTGGAGGTAGAAACGCTGCAGATCAACGTTTCATTCGTGTGGGGCTCGGAGTTGTTGCATTCGACTCGTTTGAACCCTGCCGCATTCGTTCGTCGGTCAGTGGGCCCTTGGTCGGGAAATCTCAGTCGGTGCCCCGAGGCGAACTCCGAGCTCTTTTGTTGGCTGTGGAATGCACGCGTGGTTTCGTTTGTTATGTGACTGACAACGAAGCTGTTGCCCAGGGCTTTTATTCTGGTTTGTATAAGAGGCCCTCTGGGCCCAATGCTGACCACTGGTTGACCCTGGGAAAAAAGTTGCAAGCCCGTCCGACTCAGTTGAGCGTTCTTTTCATCAACTCACATTTGACTGCTGATGATATCATTGCGCGCGAGGTCCCGTCCTGGCTCGCCCAGGGCAATCTTGTTGCCGACGAGGTCGCCAGCGCCGCGGCCCACTGTGCCCGCGTCCCCGACGAGGCGAGGGCGCGGGCCTACAAGGCCGAGGCGACGGCCGCCCTGGTGCGGCGCCGCCTCGTGCGCGCCACGGCGGACGCGCTGGAGGCCGAGGGGCGGGGCGGGAACGGCGCTGTGAGGAGTAAGGACCCGCCTCCTCCTCCTCCCCCCGCCCCTTCCCTCGTCTCTTCCTTTTGCTCTGCTCGCAGCCTCAGCGACGATCGTAAGAGTTGTCTTCGATGTTGTGGTTCAGCAACCCTTGCCACCCTGAAAGAATGGTGGCAATCTGAATGTTTCCAGCCCGTCACATTAGACAGTAAATATGCTGCGGTTCCTCGGGGGGGGCGGCTCCATATTGCTGGGGGTTGGGTCGATTCGACACATGCGATGCGATTGCAGCTTGCACACAAGGTTTGGTTATGCCGTGGCTGTGGTCGTTACGGCAGTCAGCAGAATCGTGCTCTCAGCAAGCCGTGTGACCTTCAGATCACTGCTCACCGAGGCGAGTACCTCGATCGAATTGAGCAAGGGAAGTGGCCAAAACTCCTTAGCAAAGCTGAGCAGCGAAGCCGCCTCTAGTTTGTTTTCTCGACTACGTCGAATAGCTCGATACTCGATACTCCTCCTCCTCCTCCTCCTCCCTCATCATCATCATCATCATCATCATCATCATCATCCGCTTCCTCCCCCCATTCCTAATTAGCCCTTTCGATCACGGTCGGCGGCGCCGGCCGTCAGGCCTCTCCAATATTCTAGGACTGTCTTGAGGCCATCTTTTGTCTTCTTGGTGCCATCAGGGGCCACGTGGAGCCGCTTCGAGCCTTGGAGGAGGAGGAGGAGGAGCAATAGCAAAAAGAGGAAGAGGGAGGAGGAGGAGGAGGAGGAGGAGGAGGAGGAGGAGGAGGAGGAGGAGGAGGAGGAGGAGGAGGACGACGAGAATGATGATGAGGGGCGTCTTGGAGCCCCTGACGCCCGTCTCGAAGATGTCCGGGACCGTCTGGGAGCACTTTTGGGAGGGCTGGGGCCCTCGGCCCTTTGGGCCAGACCCCTCCCCCTCCAGCCTTAAGTCGGGCGTGTCCCTCTACAGGGGGGAATGTTCAAAAGTAGTCAAAAAGTAGTCTGGGGGCGATTTTTTTAGTATTCTTGATTACTCGGGGGGTATGTTTCTTGAGTATGTCTGATTTCTTGCCCAAGATCCCCCTGTAGGGGGACACGCCCGACATAACCCTCGGCCCTTTTGGCCAGACCCCCCCCCTCCAACCGGGCTGGACTGGGCTTCCCGTGGAGGGGCCCGGGGAGGGGCAACAGTCTCATTCTCGGGGGCGGCAAAGAGTGGGGTTTCATGGCGCCTCTTCTTATTTCATTCCGTCCCTGGCCCCCCCGCTGGGCCGCGCACGTGCCGCCGGTCATGATTTGCACCCCCCCCTTCTTGGACACCCCCCTCCTGGCCGCTCCCGAGCTCGGGGAGGGGCAGCAGGCTCACACGCCGAGAAGACCCCCACGGGGTCGGCGGATGTGTTCGCAGCGCGGGCCCTGGAGGTCCCGACCCCTTCCTCAGGATCGGCTTCTTTGCTTTGAGCTGTTCCTTGCTGTGTCCAGGGCTCAGTGGGCCCTGGAAACGACAGGGCCGTTTTTTCCACCGGCTCTGTTTTGCTGTTTTTGTTGTTGCCGGTTCCGACGCCGTTTTGTTGCCGGTTCCGTCGCCGTTTTTTTACGGGTTCCCGCTCCGGTTCCAATCCTGGAGCCGTTTTTGTTGCCGTTTCCGGTCGCCGTTTTTTTGCCGTTTCCATTTCCAGGGGACATTTTTCGGAAACAGTGAAAAACGGCCCTGCCGTTTCCGGGGCCCATTAAGATCCAGGGCCCCTTTGCTGACGCTTCGCGCATCCCCACCAGATTGCCTGGCGAGTTGCCAATATCATGGAAGCGTAGGAGCAGACTGGTGGGTTAGCTATCGAGCCCAAGCTCGGCATCGGCCTGAGCATACCTACCCAGCAGCAGAATTGCAGAGCCTGCCGTCGAACGAGGAGGAGAAGGATGAGGCCGATGAGAAAGTGAAGGAGGGAAAGCAGGGTGGATGAAGAGGGAGGGGAGGTGCGAGGAGAATCTTGGCCCAAAAGCTCCCCAGCGATGTGCCCGAATACGGGGGTTGACCGACAGAGGCGTCGCGGATTAGGGCCCCCCCATCCTGACCCAGAAACAATGATGCCTCATGAGCACCGCTTAGGATGCTCTTGGGCGCTCTGGAGGCCGTCTTGGAGCCATATTGGGGCCCTCTTGAGACCCCCCTTGAGCCATATCAGATACATCCTGAGGCTTCGGGAGCCCATGGGAAGGGAAGGCACGAGAACTCAACCATCACGTGTGCTTCCGGAGGGCACGGGAGCCCTAGACACGGCAGCCGCGCCGGAGCCTCTCGAAGGCCCACATATAGACATATACTTATATACACGCCATACACGTCATACGTATATATGTATATATAAATATAGATAGATAGATAGATAGATAGATAGATAGATAGATAGATAGATAGATATATAGATATATAGATAGATAGATAGATAGATAGATAGATAGATAGATAGATAGATAGATAGATAGATAGATATGTGTGTATCTGTGTGTATGTGCGTTTTGGGCTGGAGAGATCCGAGAGACACTGCTGCTGAGCAGTGCGGACGCGCAGCTCCAGTGACCGGTGCGGGCCGCCCATGGCGCCCTCGCGCCCTGCCGCGGGGGGGCGCGAGCCGGGCACTTCGAGCCCGGATCCCTCCCCCGGGAGCGGTGGACGCGGCAGCCGATCCTCGATCTTTCGCCCCGTCCTTCTCGGCATCGCTCGGACGTGTGCATTTTCTCTCGGCGAGAACCATCGAGGACCATCCTGGACCATCGAGCAAAAAAAACGCGCGCACGAAGCCGAAACATGCACGTGCGATGGACGTCCGAGCGACGGCAAGGCTCCGGGAGCCGTGGACGCAGCAACCTCGCGGACCCCCCACCCGAGAAGGAGCTCTCCCACTGCGCGAGCCCCGGCGGCCCGGAGGCGCTCCGCGCGCTCCACGACAGGGCCGTGGAGGCGGCGCTGGCGGCGTTTTGCCCCGCGACGAGATCAGGCCTCGTCGTCCTCGGCCTCTTCCTCTTCCTGCTCCCGTGCTCCCTCGCCCTCCACTTCTTTCCTGTTCTGCCTCATCCTCCTCCTCCTCCTCCTCCTCCTCCTCCTCCTCGTTCGCGCGAACCCACTTTGTCTCAGGAGAGAGGTTCCCTTCCATTCGTCCAGGGATGTTTCTTGCGCGGTTGCCGTGCGCGTGCATGTTTGAGCGACACTGTGAGGTGGAAGCACGTAGCTACAACGAACGTGGAACGAGCCCGTAGCAGAAGCACGGCCCCACAACCAGAATCGAGTGCTGGTCCCCGTGAAACAATCCGGCGGACTGGGCCAACAAGTGCCAGTGAACGTGCTTAAGAACGCTCTTTTAGTTTCCCCCCCCTCTCCCCTGTGGCCAGTCAGGCGACGCGCATTCGCCGTTCGGCGGGGACGGCGAAGAGGACCACCTCGGCTCCGAAGCTCGCCCCCATGGTTCCTCTTGCTGCTGTTACCGCTCCTACTCCTCCTCCTCCTCCTCCTCCTCTTCCTCCTCTTCCTGCTCGTGTCAGCATGGAGAAAAATAGAGGAAAGGGGACCTGGAGGGATTTTGCCATTTTCTGGCTCCCTGCGCCATTCCCGGCCATCCCCAGGACTTGGGAGCGTCAACAAAAATTACCTGGGACAGAAGCTGGTTCTGGGAAGGCCACGGGGACCAGGACCCGTTTCCACAAGGACCGTTTTCCGTGGCGCTGATCTAGAGCCTCCTGTGTGTTCTCGGGGCTCATTCGTGTGCTTGGATCTTGATCGTCGAGTCCTACCCCCAACAGCCGCGCTGCGCTTCGCCGAGAAACAATGTATCACGGCGAAAATCTGTTCCGGGGTTTCTGGATTTTTGTTGGGGGCCGCTTCGGGCCGTGGGGCTGCACCGTTGCCTGGCCGGCGCTGCTGCGTAGTTGGCCTTCCCTAGGCCTCCAGATACTGCCCGTGAGGCCAAGCGGCGCACCCGCGCCTTTTCTCCCCTTTGGATGCAGTTCTTCACCGTGCTCAGTCGGCACGGCCCGTGCACGTGTCCGGTCTTTGAGATACGCCACCGCATGGCTCGAGCGGTGTAGCACGACCATCTTCGGGCATGGAGGCGATCCCTCCCCGTCGACCCTCCCTCCTGCACCCGTCGCCGTGCATGCCGCGTCCCCCTCCTCTAGTCGACGCTCTACGGCAGCCGCCAGCCTGTCTTCGCGCCGCTCTGGGGCTTTTTGCGCGGGCCCGGCGTGTTTGAACCTTCACATGCCTTGCGCTACGGCGCCCACCTGCGACGACCTAGACAGCTGCAGGTCCGACGTCCGGTGTCCCGGCCCTCCAGGTCGGAGGTCTCGCTCGCTCGCTGCTGCAGGCTCTGGGCCGTCTGGAGGGTCCAGGTCAGCCCGGTCGGACGCCCCAGGAGCAGACCGAGGTGGACGCCACGTTCGCCCCGAACGTCCAGGAGGCGGAGGAGTTCCCGAGCGAGGACCTGGCGGCGCAAAGATTCAGTCGGGCCTGTCCCTCTGCAGGAGGAGTATAAAAATGATCCGGGGAGTATGTTTGTTTGTATTTTGTGACCATCTGAGAGTATTTGTGGAGTATTTTTTATTTTTCGTCGAAGATCCCCCTGTAGGGGGACATGCCCGACCTAACGCAGAGAGGAGGCCAGAGGCTCCGAGGCGGGGAGTCTGGGCCTAGACCAGAGACTCCGAGGCGGGGATTCATCCTGTCGCCTGGAAGATGGATCTGCAGGGACTCGGCAAACGGTGGATATGGTAGCATCGGGCCTTGGAGGAGCCAGACATATCGATACGCAACGCCGTCCGAGTCGCCGAAGATCGATCCCCCAGGCGGTGCTCATGCAGAGACGCCCCACCGTTTCCAACAATTGGTGGTTCGACGCCCATCTTGTGCAGAGCCTCAGCCTCGAGCCTAGCAGCTGGGGCAGCCCGTGTTGGAGTACTGGAGCCCTTAAAGGTTCTGGGAAGGCAAATCTGCCCACGGTCAGTCACGCACGGAACATTTCGTTGGAGGTTGCGTCGATGTGTCGGATTCGATCGATTGTCCCGCATTCGCCGTGCCCCCTCATGGTTCGACTCAATTCGGTCGATCCGGTTCGATCCAGTCCGATGTTATCGGATTCGCCTCGAGGTCCGGTACGGCTCGATTAAGCCATCGTCGGTTCAGCCTCGTGTTCGTTAACTACCTTGTTTCGGGACCTCGCCCCGCCCCCCCCTCAGGGTGCCCCCCCCCCTCAGGGTCCCCCCCTCTCAGGGTCCCCCCACCTCAGGGTCCCCCCTCCTTGGGTGGGCCCCGATTGTTGCTGGGCCATGGGTGATGTCCGGGGCCTCCCGTCGTCGCTCGACACTGCGGTCCGCTTCCCAGGCCTCCTGCCTCGCCCCTCGCAACCCCCCACGCACCCTGGCCTGCGTGCATCCACCCTGTTCATGCCCCTCTGTTGCCTGCCTCCTCTCCCATCGAGTCCACACGCAGGGAGCGACGGTTTTGGCAGCATGAAGTGGCGGAGGAGGGGGAGGAGGAGGAGGAGGAGGAGGAGGAGGAGGAGGAGGAGGAGGAGGAGGAGGAGGAGGAGGAGGAGGAGGAGGAGGAGTTGTCAGTGTACTGTGCCCTAGGGTTCTGAGCAAACCTTGTGCTAGTCTTTGAAGTTTTTCAGCTCGGAGGACAAGGAGGAGGAGGAGGAGGAGGAGGAGGACGACGACGACGACGATAAGGAGGCCAGGAAGAACAGAGAAGGAAGGTGGGGCGGGAGGTAAGGAAGCGAAGAACACGGCGAGGAGGAGGAGGAGGAGGAGGAGGAGGAGGAGGACGCTGGGGATGCCCGGGAGGACGGGTGGCGCATGGGGGGAGGGAGGCAGGGGCGGAGTGGAGGGGGAGAACGGGGGAGACGACATGGACGAGGAGGGGGACGTGGGGGGGTGGCCTTGAGGGCCGGCCCAGACTTGGCATCGCTCGGACGCGTGCACTGTTCCTTCGGCGGGGGCCCTCGAGGAGCATCCTGGGTCATTTGGCGAAACAGCCACGCGCGAAACCGGAAAAAAGCGCAGGGAATGGACGTCCGAGCAATGGCCAACAGAGGAGTTCTTGAAGGCCGCGGTCGCGGCCGTGGAGGCGCTCGAGGGCAAGGCGTCGCTGGCCGACTCGCTGCGGGCGAAGCTGCCGGGCCCTCCTGGCGAGCAGCTGCTCCAGGAGCCAGCACGAGCTGCCCCGTTTGATTTCCCCTCCCCCTTCCCGTCCCCTCTCGGGAGGAGAAAAAAGCACACAGACACAACTAATCTTCGATTCCCCAGAAAATAGGGGAACTTATGGGAAGTGGGGGGGAAGACAGAAACCCGGAAGATATGGGAACATTTGTGGAATCCTGCTATTTGTGTGTATTTATTTGTGTGTGCCCCAGGGCCCCCTCCCTGCGCCGATCCCCTCCGTCTTCTTCCTCAGTCTTCCCTATCCCTCTGCTGCTTCATCGATTGCCGCGGCTGCCTCCTCATCCTCTCGTTTCTGGGCTGTCTGTTCTCTGTCGTCGTCCCCCCCCCACTTCATTGTCATTCCACTCCGTGGCCCCCGGCGACCGCTCTTCTCTTGCTCCTCGTCGTGATCCTCTTCCCCCACGGTGCATCATCCTCCATATGGCCCCCTACCCGACCAGCTCCAGACTGGATGGGGGTGGGGGGCGCTTTCGGCCCTCAAAGGGCTTGAAAAGGAACCGCCCTCGTTGCTTCATTCCTTTTCTCCACTCCTCCTCCTCCCCCTCCTCTTCCTCGGGGGGAGCAAAACTCCTCCTGCTCCACCTCCGTTTTTAGCTTCATGCCCTCAGGCCATTGGAACACCCAAAAAGGCAAACACAGGCTGGATGGGGGTGGGGCGCTTTCTGCCCTCAAGGGGCTTGAAAAGGAACCGCTCTTGTAGCTCCATTCCTTTTCTCCACCCCTCGTCCTCCTCTTGATCCTCCTCGGAAGAAGCAAAATTCCTCCTGCTCCACCTCCTTTGTTCTCTGCGTGCCCTCAGGCCATTGGAGAACAAACGGCAGAAACAAATAATTCATTGAAATGGCAAAAAGCAATACATGCAATGCTCTGGGATACTACAGACAGCCAGGCGAATCCTTGCGACACATTTCGTTTGTTGAGTTGGGGGTTCTGATGTGTTTATGGTGTTGTTGTTTTGGTGTCGTCTCATGGTTTTCGTTGGTTATGTTCCCTCGAGGGGTTCTGATTGAGAGGAAAAGGAGGAAGAGGAGGAAGAGGAGGAAGAGGCGGAAGAGGAGAAGGAGGAGGTGGAGGAGGAGGGGGAGCAGGATGAGGCGGAGGGAGAGGAGGAAGATGAGGAGGAGGAGGAGGATCGAGGAAGGGGCATCCGCACGTGGATACGCGATGCCTTGCGAAGGAGTGCTGATCATATCACCGATCACAGACACACCAGCCAATATACGAGCTAGTCATGGGCAGGCATGTGGATTGAAATTTGCAATGTGCATCGCTAGCCGCTGACCCTGGAGCCATCTGCCGTGCTCACCCAGAAGCTCTTTCATAGTCCAGAGCTGCGTCCTTTTCCCTCTGCTGCTGCTATGCCCCTGTCCTGCCACATGCCGCTCCCCCTCATCCATACTCCTGCTCCTCATCCTCATCGCCATCATCCTCGTTATCCCCCATCCCAATCCTCGTACACGGGGAGGGGGGAGGGGCAAGTGCGGTCGTGGGTTCTGTCCGTTTGGCTTCGCGCCAGGATCTGCTCGCGAATGGCGAGGCCGTGATCACCACCCAGCAGCAGAGGACCGAGCTCGACGGGCAACCGGGTCCGAGAGGCTAAGGTAGCGGTCGGTCTTAGTGCACAGGCAGTGCGAGCACCGAAGGGGCTTTAGCGGGAGGGGCACCAGGCAGATGGAGTAGAGAACGTGCGCACGACGTCCCCAGAGAAGCCTTGGCCATTTCCTTGCACTTGAACCCGCATGCCTCGCGCTGTGCAGCCAAAACTTTTCAACTCAGCGGCGCCGGCGGTCGCGGGCGCGGGGGTCGCTAGTGCCAGGGCGTGTCGGATGTGGACGCTGGAGCGGGAGGACAAGAAGGAGGAGGGGGAGGAGAAGGAGGAGGAGGGGTAGCAAGGATGATGAGGAGGAGGAGGACGAGGACGAGGACGAGGAGGCGGAGGAGGAGGAGGCGGAAAGGACCCAGACGCCGAGAGCCGGCGCGTGGGCAGTGTGCAGGCGGCCTCAGGCATCGACGACGGCGCAGAGCAAAGGGAGGAGCAGCATGAGCAGCCCAAAGAGGGCAGCATCAACCCTCCTCCTCCTCCTCCTCCTCCCCCTCCTCTTCGTCCTCGTCCTCCTCGTCCTCCTCGTACGATGTTCAAGCAGTTGTCGGCGGGCGAGGGTGTGAGGATGCCCGCCGCTCGCACCAGCGCCAGCCGTGATGCAGAGTTCGAGAGGAGTTCAAGGAGCAAAATCGGGGTTCGAAGTGAAAGCTGAAGCTTCGCAATCTGTCATGATAGCAGTGTGGAGCCAGAGGTGAAGCTGATTTCACTCTGGCCGTCTGAGGCCTTGCTGGAGCGTTCCCCAAGGAACAATGATCAAACCTCGACTCCCCCCTCGGGGCGCCACACAACATCAGAGACCTGGCCGTCCAAATTGAAGCGTGCAGGATCCGCCCCCGCCGTCCGAGTCCCATTGCCGCGCTTCCGAGGTTCGCATGCCGTGGCAGAAGTTTTGGAGGGGAGCGCCGTCGCACATAGCGCAGGAAGCAGAATCATCAACACGAGGAGGCAGGCCGGAGGAGCGCCGGGGGGAGGGGCGCGCCAGAGTCCCGGCGCATCCCTGGCCGCCACAACGCTGCAGGAAGAGCGTCGAGGGGCTGTTCGCGGACAGCCGGGCGCTCGCGCGCCGGCTGGGCCGCGAGGCGGCCGACGGCAGGGGCGTGTTCGAGTCGCCGCTGACGAAGGAGTTCGTCCTCCTGCAGCAGCAGGGAGGCCCCCTTCGCTCCCGCCGGTTCTGGCAGCCCCCCCCCCCTCCCCCTCAGGGGATGAATCATCAGGGGACGTACCACACCCATCTGCAACAGGTGGTAAAATCAACGGGCTCAGCCGAGAAGAACGAACACTTGACAGTATGCGCTGTCCCTTCTGCGAACAGCACGTGGAGCCTATGCTTCTTACGCGTCCCAGGACTGCTGCATCAGGCGACAGCCAAGGAATGCTCGTTGCAGACCTCCCTGGAGCTCACGAGCAGTAGCGACGGTTGCGCAGTTGGCAGCGTCCACGGAGAGGAGGTCTGGTTTGATCTCCGTAAAGCGTCGCTCCGTTGGATCTCCCGGGAGCACGCTCAAGAGACGACAGTTGCGCAGCTGACATCGCCGGGGGAGGGGCGCGATGGAGAGAAAGCGACGTTGAAGCGAAAACGAAGAGAACAGGCAACGATGAGGCGGAGAGGAGGCGGGAGTAGCAAATGGAGGAAGAAGCGAGCAGCAGCGTTTTGTTCAAAGCAAGTGCCCAGCACATGAGTGATGGGAACGTCGAAAGAGAGGAGCAGGACACGCGAAGAGGAGGGGGGGGCGGCGGGAGCAGCAGTGCTATGGTCAGGACGAGCGCCCAACACAGGAGCGCCTGGGAAAAGAAGAGTGGGCGAGCGAAGAAATGAGGAGGGGATGAGGAAGAGGGAGGAGAGCGGGAGAGGACGGGAGAGAATCAGCAGTGCTTCATTCAAAACGAGTGCCCAACACGGGAGGATCGGGAACACAGATTGGTATTGATACCATTGATACCCGTCTCTCGTTTTCGCCTTTGGGGCCATTCTGGTGAACAGGGGGGGTTCGTTGCCACGGCTGGAGTCGCCTCGGCCTCGGAATCCTGGTCAGACCGCAACCTGGGAGAGGTCCAGGGTGTAACGATGTCAGTATATCTGTGCACCCCCATCCGAGTGTCCTGGGGCGGACGACCAGGAAGAGGAGGAGGATCAGGAGGAGGAGACACGGACGCATGGCGGGAATAGGATGGCATCGCGTGGTGGGAGCTCTCCTTATCTTTTCGGCTATCTTTCCCCCTCTCCCTTCATCCCCCCCTCTCCCATCTGCTCTCGGGCCCAAGAGTGATGAGGGGAAGGGGGTGGGGGACTTGGGGAAGAAGGAAGCATGAGGAGGAAGGAGGAAGGAGGAATCCACGAGGAATGGGGACAGAGGGAGGCAGGGAGGAAGCAGGAAGAAAGGGAGGGAGGAGGAAGGGGATGAGGAGAAGGAGGAGCCGAGAAGGAAGAGGAGGAGCCGAGGAGGAGGAGGATCCGAGGAGGAGGAGGAGGAGGAGGAGGAGGAGGAGGAGGAGTAACCAGGCCGGCGGGCACGCGAAGGGGAGACCTCCCGACAGCCGGCCGGGGGCGCCACCCAAGACGCCCACAGTGCCGCCCCCGTCGGCGCGCGGCGGCTGTACGCGGAGCTGCGGCAGCGCCACGTGCGGCTGGCGCTGGTCTGCCCGCTGCGCGTCGCGTAAGCCGCCGCCTTCCCCGAAGGCCGCCACCGCGGAGAAAATGGCGCATCGTCCTCCTCGTCGCCCTCCTCCAGCAGCTGCCCAAGTTTACGTCTTACGGGATGGCTGCCCACGACTTCAGAGATGGCCTGCTGGATCCCCTCCTGAATGGGGTACTGATTTCCACGTGCCTGGTCCGGCTGCAAACAACTGGGCAGCGCCTGCCTCGCTGGATTGCGACCGCATGTTCGAAAACCGTCTGCAACTAATGGAAGGCCCCGCGCAGGTACATACGGGGAGCGGAGCCATGTAGATGTGGGTGCATGGCGGTTTCGCGTTCAGCGTTTTGCGTTCGGCCGCCGAGTGCGCGGCACATGGCGCTCTCCACCACATGGCGCAACCTTTGTGTGGTGCATCCCCAGGCGCACCCGATGGGTAGCACATGCCCCGGCAGTTTCTACAGTGAAGGGGCCCTGGGACACACAAATAAATACACACAAATAAAAACATTCCCCAATTTAAAAAAAAAAAAAAAAACAAATCTGGGTTTCTGTCTTCCCCCCCACTTCCCATATTTTCCCATATTTTCGGGGGAATCGAGGATTAATTGTGTCTGTGTTTTTTCCTCTCCTGATGCAGAGCCGCGCCCGACTCGTGCTTGCCTTTGAGACGGGCAGAGGAGCCAAGCGGCAGGCCGTCCTGTGGTTGTCGTGCCTCGCTCCATCCTCGCCCCACTGTCGGGCCGGACGGAAGGGGGGGATTGGGAAAGGGGGGGTTACGAAATTTGTCGCATGCAGCTGGATTCGGCCTCACCGAGGGGCCCATTCCTCGATACATAGCCGCCTCTGACGCAGGGAGGCGCAGGGAAAGCAGCTACGTGAGCTGATTCTCAACCCCCCCCCTTTGCTATCCCCCCCTTTCGCCCGACCCGACATTGGCGTCGTCGGCGCCGTTTTTGTTGACCGCTGCATCGTAGCACTTCGCAGCCTTCCTGCTTCTGCCCACTGCCCCTCTCGCTCTTTCTTCCATCATCCGTCCTCCATCCTCTCCCCCCGTCCCGCTGTCATGGTTATCATGTATCGTCTTTTCTTGTTCATCCGCATTTCGTCGTCGGTATCCACTTTTTTCTCCTCGTAGAGCGCAGAGTACTCCGTTTCCAGCACAGGTGTTCCACCACTTTATTCGTTGCCCCGCCCAGGTTTGGGTCATGCGGCGCGGACTTGCAGCAACAGGATGCTGAGCTTTCCTTGTTTGATAAGGGACCAAGTAAGGACGATGATGAGGATGCTGGGGACGAGGGGGATGAGGACTGTGTGGGAGGGGAACTGAGGTCGCAGAGGGGGCACACCTTCTGGAGACGAGTTAGTTGAACGTGTCGGACGGGATCGCGGTTGCGTTTTCTCATTTGGGGAAGGAAATAGCGGTGCCTCAGCGACTCCAGGATGGCAATGGTTCGTTGGGATCTTCGGGAAGGCGGCGGGTGGAGAAGCAGATTATGAGGGGAGTGAATGGGATGGGTCGGGGGACGTGGAGGGGAGGGAGGCAACGGAGGGGAGGAAGGGGGAGAGGAAACGAAGGGGCAGGAGGATTAATGGATTGAGAAGGAGGCGGATGAGAAGCAGGGGACCGGGTCACAATGCATTGCGCACACGTCGAGCAAATCCAGCAGTCCAGGGTGGTTCCAACAACACAGTCCGTGCGGCAACGCTGGGACCCACCAGAATCGTAGCAACGAGGAGATTACGTTTTTTCCAAGTTCACTCACAGCAAAACTGCCCTCCCATTCGCCATTCAGTGATGGAATGGTGCCATGTGCATCATCGCGCGCTTGCTGACTTGCACGAATTCCCCTGCCTCTTGCAACCTGCTCCTACCCAGCCCACCTCTTCTGCTCCTCCTCCTTCTCCTCCTCCTCCGCCGAGTGATCCATACTTATGATTGTCCTTGTTCATTACAGCAGCAGCCGCGGCTTCATCCACTTGGTCTTACATAGGGGGGGCGCATAACCGATGAGCGGTCCGTCTGGTGGACTTGGTCCAGTTGCAACGAAACGCGGACCTGATCAACCACTCGCCAATCAATCAACCGACTGGCAAATCCATGAACCAGGGCATCATGCAAATTATAATCAGCCAAGCCGCCGTGGATCTCCTCGTGTGCTGTGTGCCAGCTCGCCCTCTCACCGTGCAGCTCTTGACTCCTGACGGGCCGCATGCACGTCCGGCCTCCCGGTTGTTCTCGGCCCTACTCTCCCCTCCTCTCCCCCCCGCTCCCATCTCATTACGACCGCCACTGCGCGCGCGGAGGCCCAGCCCGGCGCGAACTGATGTGCGCGTGTGCGTGTGTGAATGTTTTTGTGTGCGTACGGGGGGCAGGCGATTCGCTCACCCCCGCCTTCTGTTTCCCTTCCATCCCTGTCGTCTCCTTCTTCGACCCCTGTTACGGCTGCCCCCCCCGTGAGTTTCGTGCAGCGTGGTCTCTACATGGATGAACCTTGTACGTCCCCATTGGATCCCTAAGAGCCACCTCGCCTGACTCCCCCACTTCGCTGCGCGCAGGGCCGCGACGCCGAAATGTGCGAGCGAAGGGGGTCCACCCTTACTCCCTCATGCCCTCTCGCCCCTTCCCTGAATACATCTCCATCAGCAGGAAGTTTCAGTAGGCCGAATTCAGCAAACGGCCCAAGCGATCGGCGTCGCCTGCCAGGTCGGGTCAGTAAATTGTCTGTCATGTGATCATTGCCGAGGGCGTGTGCAAACAGACCCGACCAGTTTGAAAGACAGAAGGTTGACGAGGGATGTGCAGAATGAGGAGGACGTCCTGGTCTGCTCGTCCGTCTCGGATTATGTGCAACGCGTTGTAAAATCGGGCCGGCCCGCCAGAAGATTTGCGCGCAGGTTGTCCGCGTGAGATGGTTCGCAAGTGTAATCGTGTTTCGTCAAGTCCGCCCCTGGAACGCACTGCGTATGCTTCCGCGCCAGGTCGCCATACAGTCTTTCTGAAGACTGCTTGTTGTGATTCGGACGTGCACACCAGACACGATTCCTAGACAGACAAGCACTGGGTGTAGAAGTCTGGGCGGACAGTCGGCGATCGCAGGCACAGACGATGGTGCGTGCGATCGCGGTGGTTGTCCGTCGCAAAGTCGGCCGTGGTCGGCAGCGACGTTAGCAAGAGCGAACCTCGGCCAATGTTCTTCCCGTCCTTCTTCCCTTCCCTCCTCTTTTCCTTCTCCGCCCCGCTCCCATACTCTCTCTCTGTCTTCACCTCTTCCTGTTTACTGCGTTCCCCAGCGGTGCACACACCACACCAGAGGCCCAGGGCACACTGCTCATATGACGTTCCGACGTCGCAGAAGTCGTTCCTGCTAGCTGTGAAGCTGCAGCCGGCGCATGCGGCGGTGATGATATCCGGATCGGTATCCACATCTGAAGGTCAGTCGTCGTCTTCGCGCTCTGCCTCACGCGGCTATTCGGTAGCCATGATCCCCTGCTCGAAGGTGCAGTATCATGTTTATCTGGGTCGCCGCTCCTATTCCTGCCACTTCGTCCCTTCGGTAATCGCCTTCGGCAGGCGGCCGCGTGCATGCCCGAGCTCGGTGCGACGCAGGCGCGCTCGCTGGCTCGGCAGCCACCAAGCGGCACCTGATGCCCGGGGTCTCCGTCTTGCTGGGCCGCAGACCGCCCCCCGGCTGCGGCCCAGTCGCGCACCACCCTCGCCCACGGCCATGGCCTTCGCATCGCTCGGACGTGTTTTTTTTTTTCTCGGCGGGGACTCTTGAGGAGCATCCTGGCCCACCCGGCGAACAAGCCGCGCACGAAACCGAACAACAACAAAAAACACGGGGAGAATGGAGGTCCGAGCGATGGCCAGTGGCGTCCAGGAGGAGGAGGAGGAGGAGGAGGAGGAGGAGGAGGAGGAGGAGGACGAGGAGGAGAAGGGGGAGGAGGGGGAGGGGGAGGAGGGAGGAGGAGGGGGAGGAGGAGGAGGAGGAGGAGGGAGGAGGAGGGGCAGGAGGAGGAGGAGGGGAGGAGGAGCGTGCCTCTGCAGGGGCACGCCTGCAGCAGGGCGGCGCCCTGCGCTGCGCCCTGCGCCCGCCCCCGCCTCCGCGGAGCGGCTCCCCGCGCCGACGCCCTGCGGGGGGCGTCGGCACGGGGCAGCAGCCTCTGGCGGCGGCCACGGCCGCGGCTCCCGCGCGCGTGCGCGGCAGGCGTCCGCCCGACCTTCCTCCGCTTCCTCCTCCGTTTCCTCCTCCTCCTCATCATCATCATCATCACCATCCTCCTCTCCCCCCTCCTCCTCGTCATCGTCATCTTCCGCCTCCTCCTCCTCCTGCTCCTCTCCTTCTCCTCCTCCTCATCCGCCTCCTCCTCGTCCTCCCCCTCCCCCTCCAGCGCGACCGTCCAGAATGTACAAGGTATTATCTCCTTGTCATATTTCTCTTTCTCCGTATGTTTCTTTGTTTTTCTTTCTCTCTCTCTCTCTCTCTCTTGCTCCCTCTCTCTCTCTCGCCGTCGATGTCCGATCCTTTTTACATCTGTGCCACCCCACAGTTGCGGATACGAGTGAGGGGGCGGACGCGGGGCGGGGCGCGGGTGGGACGCGGGCAATTTGCGGGTGGGTCGCGGGGTGGGTCGCGGGTGTGTTGTTGCGGATGGATTGCAGGTGGGTCGCGGGTGGGTCGCGCGGTGGGTCGCGCGGTGGGTCGCGAATGGGTCGCGGGCGGGTCGCGGGCGGCCCGCCCGACCGCCGTCGCGTGGACATGGGTCCAGGGGAGATCGGCTGATGTGATTTCTTTCGAGGGTGGCGATATACGCCAACGAACAGAAAGTAATTTCGGTTGGAAGCGTTCCCCTTTCGTGGCACAATGCTCGGGCAAATGCGTGGTGGGAAGGAAGTCGAGGAAGAACCACCGTGTCTCTATCACTCCTGCACCCCCTGGACTGGGCGGGCGATCGTGCGATATACGCATACAACCGGGTGTGTTCGACATGCTGACTCTGACGGGCTACCCGCCACCTTAATCGAGACGGGAACCGCGCGGAAAGCCCAGGTCAAGAACATGAGCATGATGATGGATCACATACATGAGCGGCAGTCCCCAACACCAGCGAGGCACACCCCTACCGGTGGATTCGACATCAATGCAGGTTACAGTTACGAGGGCACTGACAGGATTGACCAAGACGATGAGTCGATTGGCGCGTGACACCTCAAAAAGAATGGCTTCGTTGGACAGAGTTTGGCCACGACGCTATCATCAATACGTGTGTCATACAGCAACAGTTACTACCCACAAGCAGGCCCGACTTTTGTTGGACCCAAGAGCAAGAGCAGCGCAATATATTTTGGAGTCAAACCTTCCTGTTTCATGGAAGGCATGTAGTTTGGGAGAGGGGACAACAACTTCAAGCGACTCCTGACGCGCAGCCTCGTGACCACCTCCCTCTGTAGTTCACGTGACTAATAGATGCCAGCGCATGTTCACAGATTTGGGCGACCCCTCGGGGACTACGCATGTATTTCTCAAGCCCTTTTCAATGCGGCATTGGCACAATGGGGTTGCACGCTGAACTGGATGTGCGCATGAAAGAAAACACCCCCCAAACCGGCACAACACTCAGATCCGTTCCACCTCGATAGTAAGAATACGATTGCTTTGGGGCTCAGACGCTCCTCGAAACTGCTCAGAACCAGTTTGGTCGCAGCGACAAGCGACGGGAGCATGGCGCTCTCAAGCAATGGCGATTCGACCAGGTGGCAAAGCTTCGTGAACGTCGTGAATGCCCCGACGAACTTGCCCACCAGTGGCAAGAGTACGGAGCTGTCCCAGGGTACCACGAGGAGCACCTAGACGCGCCGAAGACGGATATACGCAAGCTTACATACCAGATCCGACGAGCAGCCCGACAACGTTACGCCACCCATATCAGTTTTTGGCACAGTCGGATCGCACGCCAACTCGCGGGCAACGCCGTGGGAGTTACGAGCAGGATATACTGCCATTTGCCGAGCCTTCGTCCCTCGGCGCCTGCGCTCCGCGCGCACAACGAGCAGAAGGGCATCGAGGGCGGTGCGGAGGCGCAGCGCATCGACCTGGACGCTGAAATAACGCAAGTTCTCCGAGGCGACGACGGCGACGACGACTTCGCACTCGCACGCACTCCATGGAGGTCACGGCGGACACGCACCCACTGCAAATGCTATATCCACGCGGAGGGCAAAGAAGCGCCGA